AATGATTGGGTACTAACTGCTGGACACTGTCCTTGGGCACTGCAGAGACAGCAAGAATAAAAGAGACAGATCTCGATGGGCTTTGCATGCCACTATAAGTCCTTTGGCTTTTGCTTTAAATGAGACGGAAAATCATTGGAGGGTCTAGGATAAATGAATGGCATGATCTAACTTGAGTTTTAAAAGGATCATTCTGAGACTAGACTCGCTAGTGAGGAAGCCAGTGTAATTAATCCAGACAGCAGATGGCAGGGACTTGGTAGATGTGATAGCAGTGGAGGTATTGAGAATGGTTTGATTCTAGATATCTGTTGAAGATCGGGCCAACAGACTTTGCTGATGAATTGGATGTAGATTTGGGTAAAAATGAGACAATGACGTCAAAGTTTTGGACCTGAGCAACCAGAAAGATGGCATGGCCATTAGTTGATGGGATGAAGACTATTGAAGGAGCAGGTTATGATGTGTCAGAAGTTTGTTTGGGGACATATTAGATTTGAGAATCCATCACACATCTAAATGGAGATTCTGAGTAGATAGTTGGATATACAAGTTTAGAGTTTAAGAATATTTGCATCTTAAGGTCAGATGAGGAGCTCTGGTGACGTAGTGCCTAAGGCATTTGACTGCTAACCAGAAGGCTGGCAGTTCAAACCCACCAGCCACTCCTCAGAAGGAAGATTGGGCAATCTATTTCCATAGTGATACTGCCTTGGAAACCCAAGGAAGGGTCACAATGAGTCAGATACCACTACAGGGCAATGAGGTTTTTTTTAAGGTCAGATGGGAGTTAACTAATTCTGGGAATCTTCAGCACATTGGTGGTATTAGAAACCATTAAACTGGAGGAGTTCCTCCAAGGGAAGGAGGGAACACAGAAAAATCAGAGAATTAAGCATAGCTGGCAAAGGAGGAGTAGCCTATAAGGTAGAATGAGGAGCAGAAGGTATCTAGGGAATGGGAAGTATGGTATGTGCCCTGGGGGCCATTTGAGGGAGGAGCCACTGAGCAGTTTCCATTGCCAGCTGTGAAAGATCATTCTGCAGTATTTTCCATAGATTTGACTCTCACCAGGAGAGATCATTACTACAGAGAGAGTGGTGTGTTAAAAATTCAACTCTGGGTCTGCCACTTGTACATTATGCAAACTAGGGCAAATTTCTTCTGTAAGCCATCTTGCAGGATTTTTTGGGGGGAGGCGGGGGGTTGTTTCGTTGCTGTTCATTAACTAAGCTAACTTTTGAAAAATTCCAGAATCAGGTTAGGCTCTCCACGGTATTTTTAAAATAACTGGTGCTCAATATTTGTATAAAATATAAAGTTTTGAGATGGGCAGGCTGGTGTTTGATTCAAAAGCTAGGTTACAGTCCTCAGTTTGCAGGCTGCACAGGAAGCTCCTCCAGTGCAAGCAGCGAACGGGCCACAGGAACAGGGCGCCTTCCCAGAGATCTGAGAGGAGAAGCGAACAAACTACAAGTACAGCAAACCCATTCGGAAGGCAGGGGGTGGGGGAGAGGGGGAGGACCCAGAACCATAGATGGGCGCTCCGCCACGTGCCTAGAACGGCCGCAGCGGAGACGACGAACGGCACGGCTCTCACTTCCGGTGAGCTGAGTGGCGCGGAGGCAGCGAGGGCGGTGGCCGCACCCCGCGTGGTGAGTAGGCCTCAGCGTGCAAATCCGACTACCCTGGGCGCTTTGCAGCCGGATGGGTACGAGCCAGCCGCAGTGGGGCGGGGCAGACCGGGAGGTGGTGGTGCCGGGCCGGGCGTCTTGGACCTCGGCTCCTCGCGCTAGGTCTAGGCCTCCGGGAGCATGGGGAGCGGGCCTTTGAGGGGTGACCGTTGGGGTTAGAGCTTCTGTCACATAGATTGAAAAGGCGTATGCAGCACAGGGCTGACCAAAAATCCAAACTCGTTGTCATCGAGTCGATTCCAACTCATAGCGATCCCCATTGGGTTTCCCAGGCGGTAAATCTTTAAGGAACTAGATTGCCCCATCTTCCTTCTTCGGAGCAGTTGGTAGCTTTGAACCCCAACCTTCTGGTTAGCAGTCAAATGCCTTAGGCACTTCGCCACCAGAGCTCCCTGAGGGATGAGCATACAGATTTACATTTAAACTTCTAACGTCTAGGAAGTGCTTTGTGATGATTCCAATTTTATGCGCTCCGGTGGCGTATTGCTTAAGGCATTTGACTACTAACCTAAAAGCTGGCGGTTCAAACCCACCAGCCACTCTCGGAAGGAAGGTTGGGCAATCTACTTCGTAGTGGTACTGCCTCTGAAACTCAAGGAGGGGTCGCTGTCAGTCGGATCCGACTCGACAGCTGTGAGTTTGTTTTTTGGTTTGGATGTATGAGGCAACTGAGGCACATTATAGTTACCAAAAATCTCAGATCTTATAGTTCCACTCACTCAAGTTTACCTTAGGACTCGCACTTGCTGTGCCTTGAGCTCTTAACTTGGCTTTGGAAGTGTGGCTTTGAATATCTGTTCTGCCCTTAAGAGTGCTTGCTCTGGGGTCAGACTCAAGGGGTTGGGAACCTGGCGGAAGTCCGTTACTAACTTTGTGACTCCGTGTCCTTAGCAGGAAGACGGACATTATTCCATAAAGCTGCTATGAGAGTTAATGTTGTTGTTGTTGTTGTTATGTGCCGTCGAGTCGTTATGAGCTAGTACAAAATTAAGATAACACATTCCGGCACAAAGGCAACCTATCAACATTTCCTAATTTGTAGCGTGCTAGGTGGATTAGTTTCAGAATTTCATACCAGATTTGATTTAAGGTTAAAAAAATATTCTTTAAAAATATGTAATTATTGTCATGGCTACTTTTTGAACACCATGTACTTAACACATTTTGCTAATGTTAAGAAATGGGTAGTATTCTCTGTAATTTTGTGTTGTATGTAGTTTGCTCTTTATGACATTGCCCATAATTATAATAGGAATAATTGTGAAAAATAGCCAGGTAAAGTTCTGAGCTCTATTCAGGTATGGAGTCTCAGTTACAATAAGATGAAAGAACGGCAAGTAAAATAAGGTAGTTTCTGTTTTCACTTATTTGCTTGTATGCAGAGACTCAGGGTAATTCTTTTTTTTTTTTTTTGCCACAAGATGTAGAAATAGTTCCCATAATTACATTACTCCTAGTTTTTGCCACATTACCACCTATTTGGAGTTTGGATGTTTATAGCAATTGTTTTGAACAGCTTTAAGTCAGCCTTATAAATAAATTGTCTTGTTAGCTCCCTCAAGTCACCTCAGATCATGGTGACCCCATGCATAGTAGCACAAAACCCTACCCAGTCCTGTGTTGTTATGTGCCATGGAGTCGGACTGACTCATAGTGACCCCTCCTTGGGTTTCCGAGGTGGTATCACTACAGAAGTAGGTTGCCCAACCTTTCTTCCGAGAGTGGCTGATGGGTTTGAACCATCAGCCTTCTGGTTGACAGTCAAGTGCCTTAGGCACTATGCTACTACCAGAGCCCAGTTCTGTGCTATGCCAGTAATTGGTTGTGGGTTGGACCATTGCAATCCATAGGGTTTTCATTGGCTAATTTTCTGAAGTAGATCACTAGGCCTTTCTTCCTAGTTCATCTTAGTATGGAATACCTGCTGAAAACCTAGCAGATGTGGGGTGGCCATACTTGAGGTGCATTGGCCAGGAATTGAACTTGGAATTCTTGTGGAGGTGAGAGTTCTACCTCTGAAACACCATTGCCCCTATACCTAAGTAAAATTAATTTATTTGAAATTTTTTATTTTTGCCGCATTTGGGCACTTGTTAACTTACTCTTTTCTTCTTTTCCTTTCTTTGTCGTGTTCTACCTACCTTTTACCTTAATCTTCATTCTACTAACTCGTAAAAATTCTTTTGAAATTTTTCTTTCTCCCTGCAAAAACAGTCCTCTTGTTTCAGGTTTTTGAAGAATTATCTCTCTTTATTGGATCATTAGAATCTAGAAAAAAGTAACAGTGAAGCATCTCTCACCGACAGTTTTCACCTCCAGTATTGAGTAGATTCAGAGGAAACCTATTATAGTTCCTGTTTTCAGAAAGTCAAAGTTATCTTCTATAATAAGGAAAATAAAATGACTGAGCAAATAAGGGGAAGCTCTGGTAGCGTAGTGCCTAAGGCACTTGACTGCTAACCAGACAGCTGGCGGTTCAAACCCACTAGTCAGTCCTTGGAAGGAAGGTTGGGCAAATCTACTTCTGTACTGATAGTGCCTCAGAAGCCCAAGGAGAGGTTGCTATGAGTCGGGTCCGACTCAACAGCACATAACAACAACAACACAACAAGAAACAAATAAGGACAGACAGCAATATTCATGAATGATTTGTCCATTCTTTTCAACTTTGTCCGTTCTTTTCAAATTTGGACACTTTAATGAGATAATCAGTCACCAGTAAGTGAGTAGAAGTTTAACATGTAGTAAATAGTAAAGCAATGATAGTTTATTACCCCGATTTTGATTGTCTTTTGGAGTTATTCTGTTTCCATTAGATATTCTGTTGCTACCTTTTAATGCTCCAAAATTATATACTCGTTTAATAACGTTAATAATTTAATCAACAATTTAGTTAATTTAATAAATTAAATAAATAATGTAATTGATAATTTACTACAAACTTGTATTATACCTAATCACTTATTCCTCACTTTTCCATGTCCTTTCCCAACAAATGAAAACTCCAAAAGTAAATTCAGTCAACATTTGGAAACATTTACTTATTTAAACTCTTGAATTATTAGAAATGTTTTGCAAATGTTGTTCCCTGTAATTGTCTGTTTTCATTTTTATTTAATCGCTTTTTAATTAAATATGTATGTAATTTTGATAGGCTGAAGAGGTATTAAAGTTGACTGATTAGCAGATAATTTATCCTTTGTTTTTTATTGTTCTCCTATACACAGAAAATTGAGAACTGCAGCCCAAGGAAGCAAAACAACATCACTACAGAGGAAGACAGAAAACTTATTTTAGCTCTTCACCATGAAGTTAGGAAAACCTAAAGGGGGTATTTCTAGGAGCTCAAGCCAAGGAAAGGCCTATGAGAACCAGCGCAAAACAGCACGGCAGCGGCAGAAATGGGGAATGGCTGCTCGATTTGACTCAAGCTTGAGTAGGCTGAGAAGAAGCTTAGATGAGAAACCCTATAAATGTATTGAATGTGAAAAGAGTTTTAGTCAGAGTTCAACTCTTTTTCAACATCAGAAAATCCATACTGGAAAGAAATCCCATAAATGTGCTGATTGTGGGAAAAGTTTTTTTCAGAGTTCTAATCTCATTCAACACCGGCGGATCCATACAGGGGAAAAGCCCTATAAATGTGATGAGTGTGGAGAAAGGTTTAAACAGAGCTCAAATCTCATTCAGCACCAGAGAATTCATACTGGAGAAAAACCCTATCAGTGTGATGAGTGTGGCCGATGTTTTAGCCAAAGTTCCCACCTTATTCAACATCAGAGAACCCACACAGGGGAGAAACCCTACCAGTGCAGTGAATGTGGCAAATGCTTCAGCCAGAGCTCTCATCTCAGGCAGCACATGAAAGTGCACAAAGAAGAGAAACCTCGTAAAACCCGGAGCAAAAATATCAGGGCGAAAACTCCCTTAGTATCATCTTGGAAAGCTAGTACTGGAAGGAAGACAGTGGCTCGTCTCCGCTAAATAAAGGGCACAGCTGCAGCCCTCCTTTAAGAAGAGAATTTCTCTTTTAGAACTGGAGATACTTTGTAGTAGAGCATTTAAATACTGGATCCTTTGGTAGCATGGAGACATTTGAGGTTTAATGACATTACTGGGCTGAAACTACATGAATCCAACTGTTCTCATTTCATTTTTTATGTGACTTGGACCACAGAGAACTGAAAATATGTTCTGAGAGAACACGATCCTTTGACCTCTTGAAACTGCTTTCTGTGTCATTTTGACAAAAACCATCATGTTTTGATAGACACGTGCAAGTACAGGGATGTGCCAGTGGTTATCAGTTTTAGGACTTTCTTTGGAAGCAATGATTAAATAGAAGGGAGAGAAAATTAATTCCATTAGTTTTGGAGTTCAGGACATGAGTTTTTTATGTTGTTTGTAAAGTTTTGTAGTACATTAATAAATGGTTTATAATATGAATTGGAGATTTCAACATATTAAAATGTATTCGTGTTCACTGAGTTTTAATCAGCAAGGCTCATCACTGTACTTTACCTTTCTTTTGTTTCTTCCCTTCTGCTTATGGACAATTTATTAAAGAAGTAGAATTTACCTGGTTTTCACCAAATTCTTAGTGAAAAAATGGAAGAATGGAAGCTAAAACAAACTGAATTAGACCACACATCTCCTATTCCAGCTAAAACTTTTCTTTGTAATGGCATTACTGTTCTGTCGCTTGTTTTCCACTGTTGTGATGGATTGATGGTGATCCATTTACGTGCCCTTGAACTTGGCATTATCTTGTGCTCTGACAAACTGAGCCAACCTTTTAGATTTACATGGATAAATAATTACACTGTATTTTTACTAACACAATCACAGTTTGGTTCTTACTAATTAAAAATCTACAATTTATGTCTCTCTGCCATTCCCTTTGAGACCTTTAAATAACTGCAATATCTTAAGCAAATGTTTGCCATGTAATTCAAGTGCCAGTGAATTGTAGCAGCTTTGAAATCTAAGTTAACTTTTTCTGCATTACATAAATTGTTTAAGTCTAGCTAACCTGTTTTCTTCCATCAGAACAACTCTAGGTGTCAGACATTCTGATCAACATTCAGCTCAGGTTTTAATTTCTTTTGAATGCTAAAATTCTGATTTTTTGTATCTTTTATAATCATCAGTTCCTGCTGTATTAATAACAATTATCCATAAAAATAAAAAATTGAATATTTTGCATAATACTACATTCTGTTTCTTTTCCTCTGGTAAATTGTTTCAGTGATGTAGAGTACAGAACTACAATCACAGCTTTTGATAGAATCACTTGTCTTGCCTGTGTTTTCCTCAGACTTAAAATTGGCCTCCCTTCTGGCCTTTTGATTGAATGCGAGATCATAGAAGATAGCCTTGTTGACAACAGTTTTATCCAATAGGATATCCACAAAGTGTAAGTATAATGTGACTGCAGGTATTTTTTTTTTCTTTTTTTTTTACAAAAAATGTTACTTAGACTGCTTAGCTAATGTTCTGTTGCTCCCAGTCAAAGTCACTTTATAATGGGAGCACAGCTATGGGGCCCTTTTCAGGATTTACCATCAATGTTACTTACAGCCAATTTTTGCTTGCTTGAATTTCATGAATTTGCCTATTTGACAGCAACTTTTCTTTTGTCAGATAATAAATCAGCCTTAGATAGGGAATGGGCTTACTAACAGTATGTGGGGGTGGAGAACGATTGCAATAGTGGGAGAGGGAGCTATTGCAATAGAAAGACCTCCCAACCATCATATCAACAAGCATATCAAGAATTAGAGATGAGAATGAACAAAGCTAGAAACCAGGTGTGGGGAAGTGAAATGAAGTGATCATGTGGTCAGATCAGATACTAAATCTGAGTGTTTTATTGTGAGGCCAGCTTGTTCTTCAGGAGGGGTGGTTGTATGTTGGCTTAAGGTGAGAGTGGACTAAAGTTCAGGGACTTGAGAGAAGGAGAGAAGCTTAACCAAAGTTTGCTAAAGTTTTTTTTTTTTTTTTCTGATTGATCATTGAAAACAAGCAATTCAGTTAACCATTTATGAGGCAAAGAATGGGAATTTGGAGGGGGTCTGTGGCCTTGTCATATGTTGAAAAGGGAGCATTAGACTTACCTAAATCACAGGGAAGAGACATTATCTGCAGTAAGCCATTTTCTGGAACAAAAAGATAGGAGGATTTCTTTGACCATGGGTGTTTTCCAGGATCTCAGAATTCAGGTAAAATTCAGCATTATCCATTTCATAGTTGACATTTATCCTGAATAGACTTCTAAATCCTCTCTAAAATTAAGGCAAATTGTCTTCAGGTTTTAATGCATTCCCAATTTGACTATGGTTTGCATTTCTTCTTGAGCGAATATATCAGTAGCATTTATGGTAGCTTTCTGTGGTCATGTGGCACTGTAGCCTTATGGTAATATGAGTATCTTTTGAGATCAAAAAGTCACAGCTGCTTTAACTAAATGAAATGTTTCACTACTAAACATTAAATATTAATGTGATGGGAGCTTCATAAGCACCACCTCTTCTCGCTGTACTGAAATGTGTTGCCCCAACAATATTCTGAATTTCCAACATAAATCAGGCTTACTAAGCTCTGAAACTTTCATTTTATATGCAGACTCCTTTCTTATAAAACTTCTGGGATTTTTAGCTGGGGACAATAAAGCCCCAGGTTATTTTTAAAGAAGTATTGCAGAAATTTCTTCTATCCTTAGCAAGTCAGTAAGATGTATTAAAAATCACTTGGCATGCACATTCTTTTTTACTACTATTACTGTGAAAATGTACATGCACACATTCACCAGTATAGTTTCCATGTTAACAATTCAATGACATTGATTATATTTTTCATTCCAGGACACCAATATCTCTTTTTTCTCAAAATGTTCTACCACCATTAACAAGCTCAATGTCCCTCAAATAAACTCCCCCTTTCTCCCTCCCTTCCACCCCTGTTTATCACTAATACTCTTTGGTTTCTATACATTTGCTTATTTTGTATAAGTGAGATCATACAGTATTTGTCGTTTTGCAACTGGCATATTTGACTTGCCAAGTTTTCTAGGTTCATCCATGTTGTGGCATGCATCAGAGCTTCCTTTCTCTTTAAGGCTGTGTAATGTTCCATTACATGTATATACCACATTTTGGTTATTTCCACCTTTGACTTTTACAAACAGTATGACAGTGAACATTGGTATACAGATTTCTGTTTGCATTTCCACCTTTACTTCTTCTGAAAAACTATTTATACGTGGGATTGAGATTGCTGGGTCACTTGATGCTGTTTTCCACGGTGGCTGTACCATTTTACATTCCTACCGACAATGGATGAGCATTCCAGTTTCTCCCAACCTTTCCAACACCTATTTTCTGTTTCTGTCTTTTGTTTTTTTAATCATTGCCTTTCTAATGAAGGTGAGGTGATAACTCATTTTGATTTGCATCTCCATCTGGTGGTGTAGTGCCTAAGGCATTTGCTAACCAGAAGGCTAGTGGTTCAAATCCACCAGTCACTCCGTGGAAGGAAGATTGGGTGCTCTATTTCCATAGAGATAGC